CCCCCCCCCCCCCATTATCTTCTAACTAGCCCTGTGCCAGATTTCCTTAATAAACTTATAGGCATTAGATGACTTCTGATTTAGACATTTTGTTTTATTTTTTGTTGACCACCAGCCGAGACCACAGTCTGCAACTCACTGGTGGGGGGTTAAACAGTGAAGTAGGTTAAAACCTTGTTTGATTTCTACCCTTTCCCCTGGTAAATATTTGCAAAAGGTGTCTGCGGCACTCCTTCCCTCGCTTTCTTTATTGTTAATATTTAAAGGGTTGAATGATGGCACTGTTTCTGTTCCTCTATGCAACTGGGAAAGCCCTCTGTTTGCTGTGGCCATCTTTCAGGTTCGTGCAGTGCAAATTACAGTATTATTGTACAAGCTGCATTGATAACAAAGTCCTCTGTTAAAGAGATTGCTGAAAAAGGAGCTCATACAATCAATTATATATCCGTGGTGTTTTTACTTGTCTCATGATATTATTTCTGTTTCGCCTCCATGCAGGCCATAACTGCAATACTAAAAAAAAAAGGAAATTGAGTGCATTGATCCTGTAATTGTTTGTTGAAAATCTGGCCTTACAGTAATTATGGCTTTTGTTGCCCTTGCCCAAATGAATCTGTGGCCAAGTAATTTATCCCCTTTGAAGAGCATTGTATAAAACGATGGGATTAAACAGATCTAATTGCTGTTCGCGTTAACTGTAGTAAAGAAGCCGAGTTGAAACATAAATTTCAGGCCATCTAGTTTTACAAGCATATGATGAGAAAATGCTCTTATATTTTTACGAGTGCCAGCTTCTGAACACTATTGATTTAAGTCATTCTCGACGCATTTCTCTGTGAACTTTCGGCTCTCAGTTTTATGACTGGTTGATCTGTCACTTATGATTACTTTTATTTTGCATGGATACAGGAATAAATACGCTGATAAACATTATGTCTCGTCTGGGGCAAGATGATCCAGCCCCTTCACGGTAAGAATAATTTCATTTTATTACCCATTCCCTAGTAGTTTTAGAGCTTCAATATTTTACATGTCTTTGCATGTTTTTGTTGATTTTGTTTCCCCTTTAAATAAAAATTATTAGCTAATGAAAATAGATGACTGCACCAGCCGGTCTGCAGCATATGCCAGAAACTTCCAGTTACTTCTTCTACAACTGCTTCTTTCACTTGATGGCAAAATACTACATAGTCATCATCTCGCCTGCCATTTTACAGAATTCCACCTGAACTGTCAAAGCCAATATCTGATCTTGTTACAGTGTATTTGCCCTGTTCGTCCCCTGCAAAATGCTTTATGAGAGAAAAGTAATGACTCTGTTTATTCTGTTTTTGTTGGCTTTGTGTTTAAAATATTGAAATTGTGAGCTTTGTTGTTGTCCCAAGCCCAATATCCACTTCAGTATAGATCCATAAAAAAAGCATGCTGTGTGCTGCACTAATTCCATGCTCCTGTACACCCGCAACTTGACAATCAATAGGATGTTCTTTGTGTCCAGCATCTGGCTTAAGAAATGTATTCTAAAGCATTTTTTCTTTTAAAAAAATGGAGTGTGTCATCATCACCCTACTAGCAGGTCTATAATAGTGTGTGTGATTTATATATATATAGATATAGATATCTATATCTACATAGATATAGATATCTATATATATATACAATTTTACTTTTGCACAACTGTTAAAATGCAGTAGCATTGGTCCCCTTTATTTTCTTTTGTATCAACAAATAATAGAACTTTTCCTTTTCAGAATAAACCACAATGAGCGCTTGGAATTCCTTGGAGATGCTGTGGTTGAATTTTTAACAAGGTAAACAGCTTTTCTCTTTTACTTTTCACTTGAACTTTGTGAATACAACTCGTTGCTTATCTGTTACATTTTCTGGCACAGCAGGTTGATATTACATAACATTTTATTGTATTAAATCTTGGGTGGCGGGCACTGTTCATTGAACTTGCTCAGTCATCCTATATGTTGACATGATCATTCATTCTGTCAGTATATACCGGTTTATAATGTGCTGTCAGTTCCTATGCTGCCTTTACAGATAGCATTGAAAGCATTTTGTTGTATCTATATATGTGTGATGTGATTGGCTGCCCTAGGTTGTGCTTCTATATTCTGTTCTGTTAGCTGTTTCGACACATAAAAGGGAGGTGTTTGTGCAGGTAGCATTTTATAAAAACAAAACAAATTATGGGACCGGAACTTGGGAGTGTGGCTTCACTTTTTTTGAATCTGTTATATGTTCAAGTGGAATGAGCCATAGAGGGGATGGTACCTGAGGTGGAGGAAGTTCAATGGGGGGAGTGGGGGGGGGGGGTCTCTGGTGCTGGTTAGGTCATGAAAAAAAACTTACCTGGACTTTTTTTTGGAAGCGCAGCACACCACAATGCATAGTGCATCTCATCTGTTTGGTGGGCTGAAGTGCAGGCACTTCTGTTTTTACTGATAGGGTACCATTCTATGTATATAGTCTTTTCTATACTTTTTTTGCTATATATGTAAAATAGATCTGTTTGTATGTATACAATGTTATGTAATTGTTTGTATATATAATTTGTAATAATCTTTGGTACTGCCATATTTGCTCTGTACATATTAAGGTACTACATATGTTTTGCAGTGCGATATAAAGGTTATGCATTACTGCTTCGAATCACAGTGCATGTCTATGAGTCGACCATATGATTTGAATACAAATACACTTCATATAGGGGCTCATTTCTTATCTTAACAGTCAGTATTTAGGTAGTATAAAGGCCGCTTTACATCACTGCTCTTCAGTAACACCTGTTCCCTGTATTTGGCACTGCGGTGCTATGCATTGTGAATAGCACCCCAACACACCGTCACAAAACTGCAGTGCACCACAGTGCGGGGTAATGCACTCCTGTTCATTGCGCTTCTCTAGCAAAAATGCTGCACGCCTGATTTTTGATCTGCTGTGGTTCGTTAGACACCCCATTAAAATAAATGGGCTGCTTTGACATAACACTTGTTAACACTAAAGCATTAAACACACCACAAAGGACTCTGGTGTGAATGGTCTCTGACGGTAATGGCTAATCTAGTTTGCCTCTTGTGACTTATCTACAAAACACTACAAAGTGGCAAAAAAGGAAAGGGGTAGCTTCTAAAAATTGTGACCATCACATAAAATATTATTAATAATTATGAAGGCTGGCACTGTTCACGTCTCCTGAAAGTTCCCTGGGTGTTATGCTGTTCCAGTGTCTTCAATATTATACAAGTCACTGACCTGGAGCCAGCATGCAGATCAGGAGCTATTAAATTCTAATTTTTCCTAGCCAGTGATTCACAAAGTACTGAAGCCACAGACAGCCCAGAAGCAAGTTTTTTTTCCACAGAGGTCAACAATGGCAGTCCTCACTCATCAGTGGTTTCCTCTAAAGTAAACACTGCAATAATAGCAATAATTTGAATATGTGCTAACTGAAAGTACACTGTAATTTCCCTTTAACCTTGCATAAAAGAGTCAAGCAGCTCATCAATACCTAACAAGACAAGGTACATGTTGAACTGGAGAATTGCCAGCTGTGCATTAAACAAATAAATTCACCAACTCTCAACCATGTGACCCAAGAAAGGGAACCAAATAAAAAAGAAAACTTCCTTTTATGAAAGCAGGGGTGCCATTTGTGTGTGTTTGCAAACAAATGCAACATAGAAATTTCCCAGCACGCTTACCAGCTAGCCTGCAACAAAACAAATTTGCCCTATCTAACAGCATGCGTTCAAAACAGAGGTTTTAGTTGCACATGTTGTGCAAAATATGTGGAAGCCACACTGCGCGACTGAAATACAGATTTTACAATTAGAGGTTGCTCACCGCAACCCCCATAGGAATACCTAAACTTCTCACCTTCTAACATTCCCATGCTGGTTGCCACATTTACACTAATTATCAAATTCTATACTCGGTAAACGATCAATGCTTCTAAGGGTGTTAAACGTAATTCCTAAAACATATCATGAATTATATAGTCACTGCACATAAAGGTTAAAACTGATTTTTAGTGTAGATAGATTGGGGAATGGTTTAGACATTTATCTTTTTTATAGTTTTATAGTTTGGATATATTAAGGGATGGTTAAGACCCCTATCCCTAGATTAGGAAATGGTTATTCATTTGTATTTCCCTGTTTGCTCCCATCAGGGAGATTTCACTTTCTAGCAGTAAGAGGAGATCTTCTTTTTTTTTTTTTTTTAAGTAAGGGATATCTTCTCATACAGTTGTCACCAGAATTTGCTTACCCATTGGGAATTTTTCCCTCCCCTCCTGTTGCTGGCACTATATGGAGACAGTGTTTACCAGGACCAATAGTGAGGGTTAATCTCTCTAGAAGGGACATATACAGCAATTAACTCTATCCAAAAAAAGTTTTGGTTTTACATACACAATTGAAAAAAATATAGTGTGGATACCATTCATGTGCTGCAAGCCACAGCAACAAATCAGAGTCTTGCCTCAGTTCTTTAAACCAGAACAGACATTTGGCAAGAATACTGATCTTTTCTCTGACTTTCCTTGATCTGCATATTTGTTCAAGGTCAGTAAATCGGAAAGTATTCATACCAATGGGTCAACACAATTGCCATGCAGTTGTTTCAAAAGAGGATCAGCAAGGGCAGCTTCATATTTCTTTACAACATATTTACTTTAAACATAGCCCTAGATATGTGATGAAAGATTCACTTTACTCATGTACAAGGCCAAGCAGCTGCTTTTATATTTCATAGAAGCCATTATTTGCTGGCAGTGCACTGTGAGTTATAGATACTTCCCAGTTTTTACCCCTTATGAAAGATTGGGGTGAATCTCTTCTCGTTTCTTGTTTTGTGTTGCCTCTTTTGGAGCTGACTTTTATCACTAGGAAAGCTGATATTTCTGAGAAATATAAAGCAACAGCCCTGATGCGGTTAGCAACCTAGCAATGCCATCTGGAGAACGATCAAACAAAATTGATATAGCCCTACCAGGCACTGGCAGTTTCAGAAATGCATTTACATTTTCGTCAATATCAGCGTCAAATATTTTTCCTCATGTGTTAGCCCATAGACCTGTTTATCATCCCTGTTCTCTAGGTACCAATTGTACGAATATTCTCTATAGTAGTTGTATGTGCATGTGGCACTCGTTCCTGCAAATAAAATTTCAGCATGTCCTTCTCTTGCATTGTAAGGACAATAAAAAAAATTTATTTGCTGGTGTTTCCAGCGTCTGCAGTTTTTTTTTTTCATACTCTTGCAAAATTTAGGATGTGTTTAATCGCTTTCCTTGGCATAGCAGACAGTCTAACCTTGGAATTTGCACAAAGAAATACAGCAGTATATATACAATACTTTGTTGTTTTTTTTGCTTGCTTCTGACATACAACCAAGAAACAAATACAGTACTGCAGACATTTCTAAAGTGCGGTTTTAGAACTGATTTATGAAACATTTCTAAAGACCTGCACCAGCAACCTGTGAAGAAGGGAAAAAATATCTGTAATGGCCATATTTTTCTATAATAAGAAGCCAACCGAGTCTTTCACAGTAAAGAATTAAAGTAGGACAGGTTATTTTAGAAGGAAACACAAACTTGAAAAGTGTTTTTTTTTTTTGTTTTTTTTTTTAGATATGCTTTATTGCACATAGCGATGAAAATACCTGAACATCTCTCCTGAGGTTAACCTGGCTCAGGCAATGTGCACACAAGAACAAAAGGAACACTTGGCATGTATTGTTGTAGCTTGCCATGTGCACCTCAGCACTGACTGAAAGTGTATGTAAACCCTAACAATGAGCCTTTTTTGCTCCCTTTTGGTCTTCTAAATATATCAATGAAAGGATTTTGTTATACAGTATGTATTCCATAAGTACCTGTTAATCTTGCGAGCTGATAATGTCCTGTGCTCTCTGCCTGTGCACAAAGAGGGGTTATGGAGATCAGTGATAGATGGGATGATAAGGATAGGTCTGTGTTCTTTGTAATCCATCAGAAATTTAGTAGGGAGGGCTGACGCCACATGCTTAGGATTTCAAGGCTGTGTTGTCATGTCAAAGGGGAAGGTAGGAGCATATTATATTTCTAGGGCATTTGCATATATTTTTCTGTATTCACAATGGGGGGAATTATCAAAACTGGAGCAGACAAAATATGCGGCAGCTGTGCATGGCAACCAATCAGCTTCTCTTTTCAGTTTGTTCAGTTAAGAGTTGAAAATGAAAGAGAAGTTGATTGGTTGCCATGCACAGCTGCTCCAGATTGTGTCTGATCTAGTTTTGATAAATTCCCCTCAATGTGTTTAAAGACTAAGTTTACCTTTCAGACCATGTTTCATGTTAGACCTATTTTCAGGATATAACATGACACACGGTCACATTGAAAACACCCTCACCCCCATCCCGCCCCGACACTTGCCTGAATCGCAGTTAAATGCTGGTAAGCAGGCTGCTCCTCTTTTTGGCAAATGGTGTAGCTGCGTGTGGCTCCGCCCACACAGCCGTGTCATCCATTCACAGTTCGTTTGACAGAATTTGTGAATGGAGAGACTACAGGTCCCATAAGCCATCGAGTCACTTGTAGTCTATTCATTCTTCCCCTTGCCTCTGTTAATTATGTTTGTACCTTGTTATAGACAGGAGGGAGCATCTGCAGGAGCCAAAGCATTGCACCCATGATCCACTGATAGTGGTTGCAATGTTTTACTGGCTCCAGTGCAAAAAAAAGCACTATTTTTCTTTTATGAAAACGGGTGTTTTTGTTATTTAAAAAAAAAATAGGTGGATTTTACCTTTA